CTTTGTAGTTATGTATGTGGTTTTTGAGACTTGTTTCTTCATGTTTGGACTGTTTGCTGGGGTGGCATTTGGCTAATTGTGCTTTAGGTAGGATAAATGATTCTTCCTGCATATCTTGGCCTAACACAAACATTTGATTTACCTTTTGTTCCTGCAGGTGAAGATTTTGATCAGAGAATCATGGAGTATTTCATTAAATTGATCAAGAAGAAGCATGGTAAGGACATCAGCAAGGACAACAGGGCTCTTGGAAAACTCAGGAGGGAATGTGAACGGGCAAAGAGGGCTCTGAGCAGCCAGCATCAAGTTCGTGTAGAGATTGAATCTCTTTTTGATGGTAATGACTTCTCAGAACCGCTTACTCGGGCTCGTTTTGAGGAGTTGAACAATGATTTGTTTAGAAAGACTATGGGGCCTGTTAAGAAGGCTATGGAGGATGCTGGGTTACAGAAAAACCAGATTGATGAAATTGTCCTGGTTGGTGGAAGTACTAGGATTCCCAAAGTTCAACAACTTTTGAAGGATTACTTTGATGGTAAGGAACCAAACAAGGGTGTTAACCCCGATGAAGCTGTTGCTTATGGTGCAGCTGTGCAAGGTGGAATCTTAAGTGGGGAAGGAGGTGATGAAACCAAAGGTAATTTCAGAGTAAATATGACTTATGTTTAATTAGCCAAAAATCTAAACTTCTTTGCTAACATCTGTGTGCTTTGTTATCAGATATTCTTCTCCTTGATGTGGCTCCACTTACCCTTGGTATTGAAACCGTTGGTGGAGTGATGACGAAGTTGATTCCCAGAAATACTGTTATCCCAACAAAAAAATCTCAAGTTTTCACCACCTACCAAGATCAACAGACAACTGTCACAATTCAGGTGTGTCCTCAACATTCATTTAGTAATTATAGGTTTATCAGTTCAGATATCATTAAATTCTGTAGGGCAGTTATAACAGTTGACCGTCTAGTTCTTTTGTAGAGTAGCAGTTGATCTAACATGATTTTGTGCATTGTACAGGTCTTTGAAGGTGAAAGGAGTCTCACAAAGGACAACAGGTTGCTTGGAAAATTTGATCTAACTGGAATAGCTCCAGCTCCTAGGTAAGGATATTATTTATTTTCTTCCCAATATAATTAATGAGTTGCCTTTCCATTCTCTCAACTGAAATTGTAACCTGCTGGAACAGAGGAACACCTCAAATTGAAGTTACATTTGAGGTTGATGCCAACGGCATCCTGAACGTTAAAGCCGAAGACAAGGCCTCTGGGCGATCTGAGAAGATTACCATCACTAATGATAAAGGCCGCTTGAGCCAGGAAGAAATTGAGCGGATGGTCAGGGAGGCTGAAGAGTTTGCCGAGGAGGACAAGAAGGTAAAAGAAAGAATTGATGCCCGAAACAGCTTGGAGACGTATGTTTACAACATGAAAAACCAGATCAACGATAAGGACAAGCTAGCAGATAAACTGGAATCTGATGAGAAGGAGAAGATTGAGACAGCAACAAAAGAGGCCCTTGAATGGTTGGATGACAACCAGAACGCTGAGAAGGAGGATTATGTGGAAAAGCTGAAGGAAGTTGAGGCTGTGTGCAACCCAATCATCAGCGCTGTGTATCAGAGATCTGGTGGAGCCCCTGGAGCTAGTGGAAGCAGTGACGATGACGATGACTCTCATGATGAGCTGTAGATGATGAATCATTATTCTTATCTTCCTCTTATTATTATTTCTAGGTATGAGAAATTTTATTGATGCCTAGCTAGCTGGATAGGCTAATGGTTGGATAATGTTAGTTGTGTATTTTTGGTTTCCCTTCCCCCACTGAAACAATAGCAGAAAGATGAGGAGTGATGGTAGTGGAAATCTTCCTGAGAATTGAAGGGACATGAATGATTACTTCCAGGTTCCTTAGGGTTCAATTTTGAAACACATGCTACCCAGACAGATTGAAATCATGTAATTTTGAATATATATAACTTCATTTCTCTCCGATCCGGTTTTTTTTTTTTTTTTTTTTTTTTTTTTTTTTTTTTTTTTTTTTTTGTTTTTTTTTTTGTTTTCCTAAGCCACTAATTTAACTCTACAACATTTTCAAATCTCCAAAAATCAATGCAGTGGTATGCCGAAGGAGATAATTTTAACAATTGATTGCCAGTATGTTAGGGACAGAGAGGGAGAAGTGACCCTAAACACGGTTTGGGTGGTGGAAAGTAATGTTATATGCAGCTTTTGATAGGTTGGGTGGTAGAATGGGGGTGGGTGGCAGTAGGTTGGGTCAATTTGTGGCAGCAGTTTCAATTCCTTGGCCTGGGGTGTGTTCCGAAGTCTCCTCTAACGAAATGTTAGATTGTTTTTGCAATGCCAGTCATTTCTTTTGTTAAACGTCTTTTGTTAAACGAACTAAGGGAGTGGTCTATGTCTGTTCGTAGAGAGTGGTTTTCTGTCCTCTTATTTATTTCGGAAACTTTGCACGTGGATTTGAAGGAAAATATTGAGGGGCTTTGTGTTTGCATGAACCAGTCTTCCACCATTATATTGATGATAAAAAAAAAAAAAAAAAAAAACAGAACCGCCCCCCTCCCCCGTTCCTCCCCTCCACGCGCACACACACTCTCCACATCATATATATGCAGTCATGCAGAAGCTAAGTTCAAATACCAAATTTGGCAGATAAACTATTGAGCAATTGTGTAGGGGGCTAGGGGCAATATGAAGGAAATAAAATAATAAACCTCTTCAAAGACTACGTTCACATTCCAAGTTTTATCCTTATATTGGATGACTGCTTTAAATTTTATTGATAATTTGATTTTTGTATATATTAGTACTTTTAAATTCTTGTTTTAAGTTTTTATTCATATTAGTGTTTTGGATGTCACCATATTAAGATTAAATGTTCTCCTCCGCCGTGCGCCTGGGCCCCGCCCCACCCCCTCGTCGGACATTTGTGGTGTATGTATGTATATATAGTAAATGTTTTAATATAAGTATATGAAAACTGAAAATTGTTACAAAGGTTGATTTAGACTAGATGGAAGGTGCGCGGTTGGGTTTTGAAAATCAACATAGTTTAGTTTTGGCTTTGTACTAACATATAGTTAAATACTTCAATTTTGGTTTTGCTTCAACACAGTTAAATTTGACTTTTTAAATATTAATAATGAAATTTTCACACACACATATTTATTTAGTTTTCGCTATATCACACCATATTTATAGTTATATTTCTTAAGTGTTACATTTTCTTTTTCAAACTATCTATATTTTTTAAAATTTCGCCCCCACTGAACAAAATTTCTGGATCTGCCCTGGTTGATGCGACATTTGCACGGTTATGGACCCCAAGTAGTGGCGCCGTGAATTTCATGGACACATATACCTGAAATGTGAGAAGCCATTGCCGGGTGGAGCAAGGTCAATGTTGATGACTGCTACAAAGGAGTTGAAAATAGATCGAGTAGATAGGTTGTGGAGGAATCTTGAGAGATGAGCATGGGGTAGTGGATCAAAGATTTCACCTTCAGCGGTTGAGGCGAAGGCTTAGGCTATTCTCCAAGGCATTAGAGGGTGGCTAAGGAAACTGGAACGAGGAAAATTGTTATTGTGTGCAATATATTCTTCCAACATTGTAAGCTGGCTTAGAGGTGGCAGTGCTATTCATGGTTAGGGGAAAAATACTATCAGAACATGCATGAAAGAGATCAAAGGTTTTGAAGCAGTGGAGGTTCATAACATTTATAGGCAGGGGAGGATTCAGAATTATTTTTTAGTGGGGACGAACATTAAGATATATCCATAAATATTATTGGATATAGGCGAAAAATAAGACACATCGAAACACAAATCACAGACCTTTCATAATGTAATTGATCCACATATCTTACCAACTACTCTAACTCAACTCTTATTAATATTTTCTGTTTTCTTATACTTATACTACAACATATATATATATATACATATATACATATTGTATATATATATATATACATATATATATATATATATATATATATATATATATATATATATATATGATCCTAGTATTCCTCGCTTCAGTAGATTTAGGAAGCTTTGAGCCTACTCAGATCAGAACTAAACTAGTGGATTCTCTTTGGCCGAAGCAACCTTCGCATTTCCTGCTGAGATCCCAAGTCTCGACTTGGATTATATATCCAAAAAGGTCCGCTCTCTGCTAATCCGATGCCCACCCCGCCTCATATTGTGCCGGAATGGTATTTCTCCGAATGGGTCTTGCAAGAAAATAGGATTTCATATTGAGCTCCAAATATACGCATTAGCGTATATATTATTTACTTCCTCGATCATCTCCCGGGTAAGTCTATTCACCGTTCCGCGGCCTACCAATAGCGGGAGCAATGTCCAGTTCAACCGAAACTACTGCTGCATAAAGGGCAGGTCCAACGGCACAAGACCTGCGTGAGTCTAAGTCTAAAGACTCAAGCGTGTTCCTTGGTTATTTAGAAAGAGTTTCTTTGCTGTTGTGAAGTGAAAAGGAACAAATCGTTCGGCTAGCTAGCTCATATGGAATAGGTCTCTGGCTTGCTCCTGTCTGTTCTTTGGTTATCTATCGGAAATAGTCGTAATCTTTCCTTTCTGTCCACAAAGAAATGATGGTTCCCTGCGGTCCAAACCCGGTGCCGCATTAGGTTAGGGAGCTGGACGATAATAGCTCCTCCGCATCCCAAAGCGCGCTGCCCTCCTAGGCGCGCAACACTAATTTCATTCTATTGATTGGTTCTAGCTCCAAAGAACATATACATGGAGCTATGTCGACTTACGTACGTCTCGTTGACTAAACGATCAAGGTATACCACGTATCATCCCCTCTTTCCGACGGCATAGGTTGTTATACTCGTTCTTTAAGAAGCTCCCATACCAAACCCCCAGAAGGGGGGAGCAGGGCGGACTATTAATGGGTCGAACCTTAATGGCGACCGTCTTCTTCCCGCCCTAGGAGTAGCACAAAAAGAGGGATTAGCATTATTGACCCAATGATAAACCACTAACACCTTCCTCGTTGGGGCGTCTGTAGCAGCGTTAGAAGCCGTTGCTTGTTCTTTTGCGGTAGCTGTGTTATAATAGAATACTATAAGCGTGAGCTTTAGGCTCTGCCGTTGACTGAACTTCTTTTTGAACTGGCTTGAAAGAAGACTGCCAAACGATGGGTTAAGCTCCTAAGATCGATGAAAGCTTTTAGGGAGATCCTTCGATAAGGATTTCAATTCCCCGCTCTATAAGAGGATCCCTTGCGTTGAGGCAACTCGCAAGAGACAGAGACTGCTAATATATATATATACACTTACAAGGGTTATATAGATCCGCCCCTGTTTATAGGAAATATAATAATCACTCACTCACGAGATAGGCTTGGAATCTTGGAGGATCCCTCTATGAACACCTGTACTACGGTTTGGGACGACAAGTGTGGGGTAATGGGGGGTAGAGCCACCACATTATTAACTACATGCTTTTAGGTTACTCTACTTTCTTGATTAAAAAAAGAACAAGAAAAAAGAAAATATATAGAAGCATAGTTTTCTAACACCTAAAATCATTTTTTCTAACAAAGTAACAATCTAACATCATATTTTTAATTTTTTTACAACCTATATAAGTCAGAATCAAGATGTTTATATTTTGGAAGCAAGTATATATATATATATATATATATATATATATATATATATATATATATATATAATCTCTAATAAGGTACTGTAATAAATAACAATAACCTAACTAAAATTCATATATTTGGAAGCAAGCTAGTAAGATAAGAAAAATTGAAATTGACCATATGTTTTGACAAGTAAGCCATTAATGGAAGAAGATGCACGTATTGGACCAACTTAATTATATTAGTTTGTTATACTTCAGTTAGAGTCTTTAGCTTATCTCTATCTGCTCCACCTATTGTGGTGCTGGGCTTTATTATATAAGACTGTACAATTCTTCTTGTTCATTACTGAAACATTGAATATTATTTCTTCATTTGGTATCACCCTACCATTGATCCTATGGCCAATGAGAATGAAACTAACCCCCCTCCCCCGCCGCAGGCAACACCACCACTCCCACCAACTCCTCCAATCGGTCAACCCAGGTTGTCGCACACTTCGATTGCCGGACAACCACCATGCTACAACAGGCACACCATTACGTGTATATCAAGCCAACCCAGGTTGTCGCACACTTCGATTGCCGGACAACCACCATGCTACAACAGGCACACCATTACGTGTATATCAAGCCATTAGCGACAAAAATGTACATGACTGAGCCGCTTCGTAAAGCCATTAGCGACAAAAATGTACATGACTGAGCCGCTTCGTAAAGCGGGTATGGACTCGTGCAAGCCATTAGCGACACGTATTTCTGTGACCACACAGGTTGCTCCATGACTCAGATGTGCTAGACGATCCAACTCCCTATCGCCAACTTGTTGGATGGTTAATGTACCTCTTGATCACGCGGCCGGACTTAGCCTGGCCTACTCTGTCAACAGGCTCTATCAGTTCATGCATACCCCAAAGCAGAGTCACTGGGCAGCACTAAAACGCGTCCTCAGGTACATCAAAGTCGTGTTAGACATTGACATTGGCCTCCGCATTACTCCGTCCGCCACTCCAGTGCTTCATGCCTTTCTTCGACTCCGACTAGGCTAGTTGCTCCATTGATAGGAAGTCAACAGGTGGCTATGCGGTTTTTTAGGCCCTAATCTTTTGTCCTATGTCTCTAGGAAGCAACGCACCGTGGCTCGTTCCTCCACAGAAGCCGAGTGCAAAACTCTAGCAGATGTCGCAGCAGAGGTCACGTGGATCTAGTCCCTGCTCCGTGAGCTTGGCTTGCTACAAACGACTGTCCCGGTGTTATGGTGTGACAATCTAGGTGCCACGTACTTGTGTTCCAATCCTGTCTTCCACGCCAGAACAAAACATGTAGGACTACCACTTTGTCCGAGACAAAGTCACGACTGGAGTCTAAAAGTCAACTTTGTCTCCACTCATGACTAGTTGGCCGACATCTTCACCAAGCCGCTTTCCGCTGTTCGCTTAACCGATCTTTGTCACAAGCTTGGCGTCGTTCCTTGTCCCTTGCCAGCTTGAGGGGAATATTGGACCAGCTAAATTATATTAGTTTGTTATACTTCAGTTAGAGTCTTTAGCTTATCTCTATCTGCTCCACCTATTGTGGTGCTGAGCTTTATTATATAAGACTGTACAATTCTTCTCGTTCATTATTGAAACACTGAATATTATTTCTTCATTGCACGGGCTAGTCATGGATCTCATAGACGAGTACAAAAAGTGGATGACACGACCTGGTAGGTAAAAATATGCCACGCACACAAAAAGAGAGCATAATAGAGTTGAGTAGTTGATAAGCTTGCAAATTAAACATTTAACCATGACATGGGACGACTTAAATGGCTTGAGCGAACATCGAAATCTATTGCTTGAATACTAAGGGGAGATGAGCTTAGTCTTTTTCAGGCCACGAAAATATTAGATATTAACTTTTAATACCTCTACACCAACTAAAATAAATAAAAAATAAAAAATCAAAATCAAAGTTTATTTTAACAATTTGATAATTAAAAATATTTAATATAAAAATTTTAACAGTCACATATTTAAAAATAACTTCTAATATAAAATTTAATAATATCAAATTCTAAAAATAAATAAAAATTCAAATAATGAAAAAATATTAACAAAAAACTTTCAAAGAAGTAAGAGTAGGAATTGGGGATGGGAGATTAGGAGTAAGGGAAGGGGTCATTTGACCCAATCGTTATACCGTGCACCAGGAGCACATAGCAATGTGCGTCCCGCGCATCACAAAAGGACGCATCACAAAAGGACGTTGTTTTGGTGCATTGTCTAAAAAAAAATCTTTCGTTTCAAATACACATATAAACTGATAACAGAATACACATAAACGCATAACAGAATACACATAATCTAACATAATACATATAAACTCTTAACATAATACACAAAAACTCATAACATAAATACATAATACACATAAACTCATAACAGAATACACAGAAACTCATAACTGAATACACATAATCTAACACAGAAACTCATAACTGAATACACATAATCTAACATGATACATAATACACAGAAATTTTTAACTGAATATACAAAAACTCTTACCTAAATACACAGAAACTATTAACTGAATACACATGAACTCTTAACTGAATATACAGAAACTATTAACTGAATACACATGAACTCTTAACTGAATATACAGAAACTCTTAACTGAATACACAAAAACTCATAACACAATACACAAAATTTTTTAACTAAATACACATAATGGGGTTTTTGGACCGTTTGGACAGACGGAGTGACGTCAGCAATTGAAAAGCGCGCGTTTTGTGCTTGGGTGCACATTGCTATGTGTGCCGTAGTACACGGTATAAATTGCCCATTTGACCATGTTGACCCCCCTAAACCACGTTAACATTAACTGACATAGTAGAATCAAATATAGGGCAAATTATATCGTGCACCGCAGTGCATAATCGATTATGCACTGCGCATCAAACGATGTCGTTTTGTTTAATGAAAAGAAACGGCATCAGTTTCCCGTCGTTCCGCACCATTCCGCAAAAAGTAACTCTGCTATTTAGTTTCATTTTGTATACACTACAGTTTCAGTTCAACATAACTACAATTTCATTTCAACATAACTACATTTTCATTTCGATATAACTACAGTTTCATTCGATATTTATATACTCAAATATGTGAAAATGTTATTTAATTTTATTTTATATATACTATAGTTTTATTAAAACACAACTACATGATCATTTTGATATAATTACAACTTCATTGTACAATATACACTCAAATATGTGAAATGTTATTCAGTTTCATTTTATATACATTGCAGTTTCATTTCACCATAACTACAGTATCATTTTGAAATAACTGCAGTTTCATTTGATAATATAAAAATAATACGTGAGGCAGTGTCGGTTTAGATATACTGTAGTGGCAGTTGGTAATTAACATACAAAAAAATGCGTACTCCGTTAACATTAACGGCGCGCTGTTTCTTTACTTAAAGAAACAGCGTCATTTTGACATGCACCGCGGTCCACGATATAACGACCCCAAATATAACCTTTAATTAAATAAATTCCAAAGTTTGTCCTTTTTGAGTCTAATAAAATTTTTAAACATGAAAGTTTTTCTTATGATAAATTTAGAAAATACGTCCACATCGCCACTTCAGATTTCCACAAGAAATTTGAACGAATTTGGAGTGTTTTACGGGTGATATTTAAGTATTCCAAAAAAACATATTAATACAAAACATTTTTGGACTAACGAGGATCAGGAATAGAGTTATAGAGGGAAAAATGTAATTTGTGTTTTCGGATTAAAAAATGCATATTAAGTCCAATATATTTTTAGCGTATTTATGGTTGTAGTATTAGGCATCTGTCTATTGAAGACTTGAAGTTGTCAAGTAATTCAATTTTGAAGTTTATTCGTTCAATTTTGAAGTTTATTAAGACTCGAATAAGATTAAAATTATCAAATTTTGATAAATAATTAAGTTTTTAAAGTACTCTAGCTTTGAATTTTTTTTTAACTAAACTATAACGTCACGCGTTTTAATCTCTTTACTCTAAAATAAATCTCCACATGATCAATTTTATGCTGACTCCAATTTTTTGTTCTATTTTTAACTACTTGTCATGATTGTCATGATTAATTATTTTAATTAATGTTCAATCTTTGAACACACACACCCCCCGCCCCCCTCCTTTTTTTTTTTTTTTTTTTTTTTTTTTGTAATGAGAGAAACACACCACTACTATTTGAGATTGTGCATGGTTTGACCAATATGATATTGACAAAAAACAAATTATTTTTCAAGTACAAGAATCATGCTCTGCGTACTCAATCACTCATTCCAAGACATCTTTAATCTATTTTTTCTACCAAGAGAAACTCGCAGATATTATCTAATAATGTTCACGGAGTAAACCCTTCCTATGTAATAACTACCAAACTTCATATCTAAATGGTTTAATTTGCTTGACATGCTGCGAATCCTCTTAAAAGAGACGGTCCCTTCTCAAACAATTAGTCCTCTAATTTGAAAATTGACAATGATAATAAAAAATAATACAAATAGAAAATGTAAAATATAAAGCACAATATTTAAAATTTAATGTTCCAAACAGGAAATATATATAATATAAAATATAAAATATAAAATTTAATTTTTAAAATTCAACTTTAAAAATTGAAAAGAATACATATTATAAAATTCTATTTTGTATAAAGAGATTTAAATGAAATACAAATTTTGAAATATAAAATCTACAAAGCATATCAAAATTATAGGTAATAATAAAATCTACATAATTAAAAATAATTTCTAATATAAACTTTAATAATGCCAAAATCAAAAAAATAAAAGACAAAAGAATCTTTTAAAAAATTCAAGAAGTAGGGATAGGGATGGGATAGGGATAGGAGATTGGGAGTAGGGGAAGGGGTCAATTGACCCCGTTCACGCCCCTTCCCCTACGCCACATAACTCCTCACTGACACAGTCAAGATTTAACATGTAGTAGACTTAAATATAGCCTTTAATAATTTATTTATTTTATCAGACCATGAGATCTTTTGAGTATGCCTTAACTATAAGAGGCACTTTAAATCTAAATTACGAAATGTTCTGAGTAGGCTTTAACTGTAAGAGGCACCTAAGATTACAAGAACAAGAGTGCACGACCACTCACGTCAACCAAGCTAATTATATAACCTTTAATAAAATTTGTCACACTAAAATTTTCCTTATAATAATAGAAAATGCATCCACATACCTCACCTCTTCTGTTTTCCACAAGAAAGTTGAATGAATTTGGAGTGTTTTACGGGTTATATTTAAGTATTCCAAAATACATATTAAATTCATAACAATTTTGGACTAATGAAAGACTTGTCTTTTTTTTTTTTTTTTTTTTTTTTTTGAAAAAAATGAAAGACTTGTATTTATTTCAATTAAAAATTTAAACGATTGGTGAAGATTTTTTTTTTTTTTTTTTTTTTTTTTTTGGGTGCGCACGATTGGTGAAGTTACGTACATATGAATTATGTTAGATATTTTATCCTTACAAAGAAAATCAAGTGTTATTATTCAAAGCATTAATTATCAAGAGTATTTATTAATAAATAAATATAATATGTACTAACACAAGATTGAATAAAATTATAGAAAATTCAAAACTATTGGGAACAACTATAGAGTTTGGTATTGGTCTTCTTCTTGAATTTCTATTTTCCCAAACATAATAAGTGAGTAGTCGTGAGTTAAGAAAAAACATCTTTCTCATCACTCATCAGTCAACTATCATAATTGGTTTGATAAAATGGTTTGCTTAAAAAAAATAAAATTAATGTATATAAATTATTGTTTAAAACATTTCATTAAAATCTTTTAAATAACACATACATATATTGATATATTATTTTAACATATTGCTTCAATAATTATGTGATGATGAATTTATAGTGCTGGCTTAATTAAATATTGTAATAACATAATAAAAATTCAATAATGATTTAATAAAATTATAGTAGTGACTTAATGAACTTACAATAATGAATCCACAATAATAATTTAATGAACTTGTAATATCAACTTAATGAACCTGCAATAATGAATCTATAATAATAACTTAATGAATTTGTAGTAATGATTTTATAAAGTGCGATAATGACTTACTTTAATTGTACAATTAAAAATAATTTGAAAATAATTACTAATATGAATGTCATTTAAAATATTTTAATTAGAGTTTTTAAAAATATATTTTTTATATCAGGGTTCAAACATATGACTTCCTATTTGGGGGTGTTATAGTTATGCCGTTTGACCACAAGAAATTTTGTAATTTGTATCATATTAAATCTTACCGTTAAATTTTCGGCCAAATTCCCGAATAATTGGCCACCCCCTACCCCGTCCTTCGTCGTCATGGATTTCCATTTTTTTTTTTTTTTCATCATTCAAGGATAAAAATTTAGTGGTTCTGAATTGAGGAGACAGATCTCATCAGTCAACTGCAATATTGGGTTTGAGAAATTTCCCTCCACCAGGCCAGAATGGCTATAAAAAAGCACTCAGTTACTATATCATATTTATCAAAGCTGAAAACTTGCTTACATAATAGATTGTGTGATTCCATGGAGATCACTCGCCATTATTTGTGCTTATCCATCTTCTTCTTGCACTCTCTAATGCTTTGCTTAACCATTAATGCCCATACCAACATTACCACCGACAAACATGCCCTTCTTTCTCTCAAATCTAAAATTTCTTTTGATCCTCATAGCATTTTAGCTGACAATTGGTCGGTTAACAGCATAACTCCGTGTAACTGGATTGGAGTCACTTGCAATTCTCGTCACAATAGAGTGTCTGCTTTGGATCTTTTCAACATGGGTCTTGTTGGAGAATTAACTCCAGACTTGGGAAACCTTTCTTTTCTTGTTTTACTTAACTTGAGTCAAAACAATTTTCATAATTCCTTTCCTCGAGAGCTTTCTCAATTGCGACGCCTCAAAATTCTTCAGTGTAGCATCAATAACTTTAGTGGGAATATTCCATCTTGGTTTGGTCTCTTACCAAACCTTAGATTTTTGCATTTGGGGAATAATAACATTAGAGGTTTTTTTCCCACATCCCTTTTTAATCTTTCAAAACTTGAGGTCTTACATTTAGGAGTTAATTCTCTTGAAGGGAGTGTTCCTAGAGAAATTGGCAATCTTCCCCAACTGACGTGGTTAGATTTTAGCCTTAATCATCTTATTGGATCTTTTCCTTTGGGTATTTTAAATTTGTCCAAATTAGAAACTATATCTCTTTCAACTAATAACTTATTTGGTAAACTTCCCCTTGATCTTGGAAATCATCTTCCTAAACTCCAAACATTTAATATGCGTTATAACAAATTTAGTGGTCAAATCCCATTAAGTTTATCTGAATGCTCATTGCTTCAAACTATGGCTCTATCTTACAATAATTTTAGTGGGCATATACCAGAAGAATTTGGAAACTTAACAAAGCTTGAGGAGTTATCCCTTGGTAGAAATCCGTTAAGAGGTATGTGTAATGACTACTTCATAGGTAATATGAAATTTAAATGTTCCATTCCATTCTTTTTCTTCCTGTTCCTTGTACTTCGTTTGTTTCCCTTCAACTTCGAGAGAAGAAATTGAAAGGGGTCGGGTCAGATCGGGTCAGTCATGGGCTAGGAGATTAATTAATGGATCAAGAGTACAAGACTTATGACTGACAAAGAATTATTGAATAAACAATAACAGGGCGTTTGGTTGGGAGTAAGGAATTAGGGTGGAAAGGAATTGCAATTCGGTGGGAAAAGAATAAGGAGGGAATAAAGTAGGAATTCAAATTACATTGTTTGGTAGGGATGAATAGAATTATTAGGTAGGGAATGAAAGAAGTGATATAAAGACTAAAATGTCCCTGTGTAATAATAATAGTAGTAATAATTAAGGGTACTTTTGTTATTTCATCCCTTTTTCCTTTTCCCACAACCACCGAATTGCAATTCATAGGGGGGTGCCCATGAATTGCATGCAATTCAGCAAAAGAAGGGAATTGCAATTCTGTGGAATTGCAATTCCCTCCAACCAAACGGCGTAATTGTGGCTTCCACTGAATTGTAATTCAACTACAGCCAAATTACGCCCAACCAAACAGGCCATAAGTGTCTGTTTGGTTGGAAGTAATTTAGCTGTAGTTAAATTGTAATTCAGTGAAAGACACAATTACGCTGTTTGGTTGAATGGAATTACAATTCCACCAAATTACAATTCCCTCCAAATGCTGAATTAAAATTCAAACCTCCCCAAAGAATTACAATTCGGTGGTCAATGGGAGAAAAAAGAATAGTATGAAAACAATTTTGCCCTTCTAAAATACCCTGGTCTAATGTGCACTAGTCAGCCCACCCTAGTGCATTTCAGTCATCACCACCCATAACTACCTCATACTAGTTTGCTTTGCTTCATACGCACATGACCCTTAGCTTTCTCATCTTCACTTGAAAACCAGATTAAACTACCCAAGTCTTAATAATAATAATAATAATAATAATAATAATAATAATAATATAATAATAATAATAATAATAATAATAATAATAATAATAATAATAATAATAATAATAATAATAACAATAATAATATAATAATAATATAATAATAATAATAATAATAATAATAATAATAATAATATTATTATTATTATTATTATTACATAGGTTATTTTTTTTTTAAAAAAATAGGATTATTATTATTATTATTATTATTATTATTATTATTATTATTATTATTATTATTATTATTATTATTATTATTATTATTATTATTATTACATAGCGTCATTTCAGTCATTATATCACTTATTTCCTGCCTTATTTCTTCATACCAAACAATGTAATTTGTATTCCTATTTTATTCCCACATACATACCAAATACTGTAATTTGAATTCTTACTTTATTCCCGGCCACCTTATTCTTTTCCCACCGAATTACAATTCATTTCCCCCCTAATTCCTTCCTTCCAACCAAACGTCACATAATTGTTATACTATGAACAAGAATCCACCTTGCATTGTAGACTTTGATCCTATTCAAAAAATTATGTGTATGTAGTTAATATATTATGTGTCTTCAGTTAATAAATTATGTTCGTGTAAATAAATTGAATACACATAATATGTGTACTAAAGAGACATAATATGTGAACTACAGACACATATTATGTTAACTGCATTCACATAATATGTTAACGATAAGCAGCTAATATGGAACATCTATCTGATCTGTTTTAGTCAATAATTTATTTGGTGAACTTCTTCTTCATTTTGGAAATCATCTCCCTATACTCCAAAATTTTAATATACCTAGGAACAAATTAAATTTAGTGTTGAAAGTCTATCAAATTTGTATAAATATTTATTACTTCAAACAATATATATCTATATCTTACAACAATTTTAGTGGGCATGCGGTGCACCAAAAGAATTTCACAATGCAACTTCCCAAAGCTTAAATCTTCATAACAATCACTTAAGAAGTATGCATAAATAAAGAAGGGGAAATTCTATTCACACCACCTCTTTTACTATTTACATCACCTATTTAATAGGTCAAACCATTTTATAGGTGGTGCTCATTAAAAATTACTATTTGCACCACCATCATTTAATGTGGTCAAAGACTAATATTTATTTTATATATTTTTTTGTAATCAAATTATTAATTTAAAAAAAAAAAAGGGTTGCCTTCTCACCAGAGAAGCGACCTAGGTACCCTTCAACCTGGGTTGCCTTCTCCGGTGAGAAGGCAGTCCAGTGGGTTGGCTGCCTTCTCAGCGGAGAAGGCAACCCAGGTAGAAGGCTACCTGGGTCGCCTTCTTCGGTGAGAAGGCAACCCAGTTGCCTTCTCCGGTAAGAAGGCGATGGTTTCCTCTTTTTTTTTTTTTTTTTTTTTTTTTTTTTTTTTTTTTTTTTTTTTAAAATTTTAATGAATTAAATTTTGAATTAATTAATTAATACTTAAATCTAATAAATGCAGTTTTACTAAGGTGGTGCAAATAACATTTTGACCATCCATTAGGCTATTTGCACCACCTATGTATTTATTATAAATTATCACCTTTTAATATTTTCAATGTACTTTATACCCCATTTTAGTTAAAGGGTGGTGCAAATAGCAACACCCATAAACAAGACGCATTAGCTTTGACCAGGGGCGGATTAATTTGTCCTCACTACGAAGCGTTGTTTTTCTTCTCCCAGGACCTATGCCAAAGGAACTTGGGAATTTAAGCATGCTTCAAACCCTATACATTGGACATTGCAACTTTGGAGGTACATTTAATGCTATACTGCTAAATATATAAACCCAGACACATTTATTCGTTTATTTATATAAGACTTGTTTTTTAATTTTTTTTTGTGTGTTTAATAGTACGTTTAGTGTAGTTTCTAAATATATAAATTTTGTATACTAATATTAAATTTAGTATTATGAAAAATTAGATTAAAAATAACTTCAGTCAAGTCTCGTTAACCGAACCAGACACATAAAATGGAGCAGAGGGAGTATGAACTTGTGACTCTAGATAGTTCAAATTATTTTAAATAAAAATATATGAAAATTAAAATGTAATATATGATAATAATATCTATATATTACGTCAATTTTGCATGCACAACTTATTTACCCCGTATGTTGCACATACACTTGTTGCATTGATGAGTTCATGAGAAAATAAATATTTTGGCTGGCTGGCAGGTGTAATACCAAAAGAGTTGGGTAAACTTCATATGTTGGAGGAACTAACTTTAGAAATCGCTAACTTAAGTGGGTCCATACCCAAGGAAATCTTCAACATTTCTTCTTTAAAAACAATTTCATTTTCGTTCAATAACCTTGTGGGCACACTTCCTTCAAGCATGGGGCATGCTCTATTGAACTTATATGAACTCTATCTTGAAAACAATACGCTCTCTGGAGTGATACCAGACTCTATCTCAAATTGTTCAAAGCTTATTAGGATAGATCTTGGCAGCAATCATTTCAGCGGCACAATCCCTACATCTCTTGGTAATCTAAGGCTCCTAAACGAACTATCTCTGGATGAAAACATGCTCACAAATGATATTGCATCTCAAGAGTTAAGTATTATCAGCTCTTTGGTAAATTGCATTTACTTGGAGGTGGTATACTTAGATTATAACCCTCTAAATGCTATCATTCCGTCATCAATTGGGAATCTTTCTTCTTCCCTTCAATATCTGTCTATGCCGAGTTGTGGGTTAAAGCAAATCATACCAAATCAACTACGAAACTTAAGCAGCTTGATTAGCTTGGCTCTGGGTAGTAATAACTTGGTCGGGTTTATTCCACCAATGCTAGGTAGGGTTAGTATGCTCCAAGTATTGGATCTCAGTAATAACAGATTGAGTGGTCCCATTCCTGATAGCCTTTGTGATCTTCACTATCTGTATGAATTATTTTTGAGCAACAATCAGCTGTCTGGCAGTTTGCTGAAATGCTTTGGTAATAGCACTTCCCTCAGAAAAATATATCTAGATTCAAATTGTTTGACTTCTAGAATACCTTCAACTTTGTGCTATCTCAAAGACTTATTAGAGCTTGATTTGAGTTCAAATTTCTTAGATGGGTTTATACCCAATGATGTTGAAGGTTTGAAGGCACTTTCACTCCTAGACATATCCCACAATCAAATCTTGGGAAATATCCCTGTCACTATTGGACAATTGCAAAATTTGGTTTCTCTTTCTCTTGAACGGAATAAACTAGAAGGATCTATTCCAAAGCAAATAAGTCAAATTGTTTCCTTGGAATTCTTAGATTTATCTCTAAACAAACTCTCTGGTTCAATTCCGGTATCTTTGGAAAGACTTGCATACCTCAAATACTTCAATGTCTCATTTAATGAATTGAGTGGTGAAATTCCATCAGCTGGTTGTTTCAAAAACTTCTCAAGTGCTTCATTCACGTTTAACAAGGAATTGTGTGGAAATCCTAGGTTTCACGTACCACCGTGCCATTCTACCCACCATTCGAGGATTAAAAGAAGACTTCTTATTGCTCTTGCATCTCTTGGAGCTTCATTGATAATTACTTTTGTAATTATTGCATTTGTCCTTACAAAGCGACAAAGGAAATTTCGAGTACCAAGTATGACGGATATTGGCTTTCCATGGGATAAATTAAGGATTTCTTATGATGAGCTTTCAAGGGCTACTTCTTGCTTTAGCCAAAACAATCTCGTTGGTTCAGGGAGCTTTGGCTCTGTGTATAAAGGGACTTTGGATGACGGGATGCTTATAGCAGTGAAGGTATTTAATCAATTAGAAGATGCACTTGAGAGTTTTAATGTTGAGATTGAAGTGCTAAAGAATTTATGCCATCGAAATCTCACTAAGGTGATTACTGGATGTTTTGCCGAAGACTTTAAGGCCTTGGTCCTTGAGTACATGCCAAATGGAAGCCTTGACCAGTGGCTACATTCACAAAGAAACTTCTTGGATATGGTTCAGAGGTTGAAGATAATGATTGATGTTGCATGTGGTTTGGACTATCTTCATAATGGCTACACAATGCCAGTGGTTCATTGTGATTTAAAGCCTGCAAATGTGCTATTAGATGAAGAAATGGTAGCCCATGTATGTGATTTTAGTGTGACAAAGTTACTAACTAAGGAGGAGAGCTTCAAGCATACCAAAACTCTAGCAACACTGGGCTATATGGCACCAGGTAAATGCGATTTTATACTTTCATTCAATTTATTCCTAAAATATTTTAAAATAATCATGGACTAGCTAGACTTCCATTTTCCGTTCCAAATCATATGATTGATTGATGGTAGTTTTGATAATCGCAGAGTATGGATCCACAGGAATGATATCAACACAATGTGACATTTATAGTTTTGGAATTGTGTTAATGGAAACATTTTCAGCAAGAAGGCCCACAGATGAAACATTTGGTGAAGAAATGAGCTTGAAAAGTTGGATAAGTGATTCTTTACCTCATCATGTACTTCAAGTTGTAGATCCCAACTTAATAAGGGCATATGATGAAGACTTCAATGCGAAATTGCAGTGTATATCCTCCGTATTAGAATTGGCATTGCATTGTGCAGATGAATCCCCTGAAAAGCGATTAAACGCAGAAGATGTTGTTGTAAGACTGAATAAAATCAAACTTCAATTTCTAAGAAGTGTTGGGAGCTGATAAAATTGGAAGGAAACAGCTGAAAAACTTACCTTTGAATAAAAGACAATCAAGGATGCAGTTGTCACCGTTCCAGGTAAAATTGAGTAATGGTATGGTTGAGATTTTAATTTAATTAATTGGTCTTTCTGATATTGACATTCAATTTGATTGCCCTCTCCTTTGAATTTGGGTGCAGCATAGTTGAATGATGCTCAGAGGCAAGCTACTAAGGATGCTGGCATCATTGCCATTGCCCATGGAGATACTCAGCTTTGAGGTAAGGGCCTTTGTAGTTATGTATGTGGTGTTTGGGACTTGTTTGTTCATGTTTGGTGGTGTAGCATTTGACTAATTTTGGTTTAAATAAGATAAATGATTCTTCTTGGCCTCACTCAAACATTTAATTTACCTTTTAATTTGTTGTTGTAGATGAAGATTTTGATGAGAGAATGATGGAGTATTTCATTAAATTAATGAAGAAGAAGCATGGTAATAAGGATAACTAACAGGGTTCTTGGGAAGTTCAGGAGGGAATGTGAGTGGGCAAAGAGGGCTCTGAGCAGTCAGCATCAAGTTGGTGTAGAGGTTGAATCTCTTTTTGATGGTAATGATTTCTCAGAATCACTTACTCGGGCTGGTTTTGAGGAGTTGAACAATGATTTGTTTAGAAAGACTATATATATGGGGCCTGTTATTTGCCTTTTCAACCGCAAAGGATGAGCGTGTAGATCGAGATCATAGCCAATGAGCAAGGTAATCGTATCACACCATCATGGCTTTACTTCACTGACAATGAGAGACTAATCGGTGAGGCATGCAGCCAAGAATCAACCCTGAGATCAGAGGACCATTTTTTTTATATGTAAAGAGGCTTATTGGAAGAAAGTAATGAATTTCTCTCTTAAGTTTCCTCCAATATGTGTTTTGTGTGTGTGTTTTCAAGCTAACTATAATGGAGATCTTAAATAGGTTTGAAGACAAAGAAGTGCAAAGGGACATGAAACTTGTTTGGCATCTCTGTTTCATGTAAGCATCTCTTACTCTCTTTCAGAAGATAATGAGATTAGGGAATAATTATATTGTCTTTGTTTTGGTAATATATTGCTCTTTTGGTTATGCAATAATGGTATTAATATTGTCTTTGTTTGGTAATATATTGCTCTTTTGGTTATGCAATAATGGTATTATGAATCATGATAAGCCCTTTTGTCCTTTCAGGAGATAAAATAAAGTTCTCTCTATCACCATCAAAGTCGAAGGACTCTTTATCAACTAATGCTCCTGGTATGGTGTTCCTCTTGATGAAAGAAATTTGGTACAGGAATTATTTATGTGTTACTGTTGGTCTCTAAAGATAATCATTATATTATGTTATCACATGCATATTGATTATTACCACTTCCTTTTGCAGATAATAAAGGCACTTAATCTTTACAGGAAAAAGACTGGAACAGACAAGCACTTTTGGGTAAAAAATTTGAAAGTGTACTGACAATATAACAATGTTTCCAATTTTTTATTTTATTTTTTCTGATTTTGAGATGTTAAATCGGCAGATTCATCTTGATAAGAAGGTACCTACTGGGGCTGGTCTTGGTGGTGGGAGCAGCAATGCTGCAACAGCCTATATCCATATTTGTTTGCATAATTTATGTGACATTAAAGTACTTGATTGTAATGCTATGCTTCAAATTATATCACAGGGAATAACATCTGTTGTCTTGGCTGAGCTCATCATTTCAGCTTTTAAAGTACTTGGCAGAGCGTTAATTGACCAAAATTTCTTGTTCTTAGGCGCTGGAGGTGAGCTTGTTCATCTTTAAATGAATTTTTACAATGTTAGCATTATGCAATTGTATAAATCACATTTTGTTTGAACCACTGAAGGCTGGAACTACATTGTGTGTCATTGTCGTAGTTCGAAAAAAAAAAATTAACTTGTCAACTCAAAGCCACTTATGTTGTGTTTTCTCTCGTTTCAGGCATTACAACCTACAATTCTAATAGGAACTTCAGGAGTTGGAAGAGCATTTATATATCCAGGAGTTGCTTGGATCACAATTTGGTCCAGAAAATGGTTTCTGTCTCAATGGGCTTAACATAAGTAGCATCAACCTCAACTCTATAGTTAATTTGTGGCCTGCAATCTTGAAAAACATCTCCCCGTTCAATGCTTTGTTGAGAGTTTGAGAGTTTTGTTACATTCATGTCTACAGATACAAATTTTGTAGTTGTCATAGTACATGTGAAGAAGTAAATATACACTCGTATTAATAAACTTGATCCATTCATGTCAATAGATACAAAGATATAAGTATGGATTTTTTATGTAAAACTATAAAAGTACTTCTTAGTTATGTGTGTAATTCAAATAATATGTAGATTTTTGTACTTGAATATTATTTGACAAATATTTATTACAATTGATTTTCTTTTTAAATTGAATCTGTATACAGAGTTTGTTACCAAGATTATGTAGTCTAATGGTATCAAGATTGAATTTCTATTTAAAAGGTTGTGAGTTCGAGCCTCAGTGGAGGCAGATAATACATTTTAATAGAGCCAATAGCATTCAGAGTTTGTAAGGGAGAAGTTGTTCAGCAGGATCGTTCAGACATATATGCAAACATGGCCTAAACCACAACGAATGTCCATTTATTTGCTTGGAAGTCGGTATTTATTATATTTATTTGCAGGGAGTGATCTTCTGTTCCCCGTTTATTTCGGAAACTTTGTATGCCAGATTTGCTAATTCAGCAACGTATATTGTCAAATAATGCAGTGTTATAATAAAATTAGTTTGTGAAAATTGAAATTGAAATCCTGAGTCATACAATAACATATAAGAAAAATTGTAAGTTATGGCGTCTCTGATATTGTCATCATTAGTTATTGAATTTGAACGCATCTTTTGAATTTTAAAATTAGAGAATTAATGTGTGAAAAAAAAAAACAAAACAAATTCCCTTTAAAATTCAGAAAAAAAAAAAAACAATATTCGTCCACATGCATTTCAGTTTTCCACCAGAAGAAAAGTTTTCTATGACGTCACTGCACTATGAAAATGTGAATACAATAATTTTTTTAGTATTTGGACTAACATGGATTTATATTAGGAAAGCAGGTGTCGTAGTTGGGGTTTTATTCAGAAATGTCAAAAGATAATGTTATTAATAAATAAAACTAGTATTTTCACCCGTGCAATTCACAGAATAGATTTGTTATAATATTTTAAGAATATTTGGATCGATATATATAATTATATAAATTATTATAACATTGATTATTATATAACACAATTGAAGAATTGAGTTCGATCGATTGTATTTTATGATATTATCATTGCTTGAATTTGAATAAATAATTACCCAATTAATAGCTAATGTGTATATGTATGAATCCGGTGCTGAAACTTTAGAGAATTTATATATCAGTGTTTAGGATTTATAGAAATCATTTGCTATCCTAATTTATTTGTATGGAAGATATATTTTCTGTGTAGATATATACCAATTTTGTCATCTTCGCCTAAAAAGAAAACATAATATCACTGGTTGGAATTGCACATTATTGAAAGCATCTTTGTAGACGACATTGGTAGTAGTAGCAGAATCTTGTCCATCTTCCTAAGTCTCCCGCGGTTCGTACCGCTCTGATACCAACTTGTAACACCCCACTTTTTTTAAACTTAATTACAGTTCTAAAACCAAAATCAAGATAAACTAAGCAGCGGATAAACAACTTAAATAATAAACTAGTGGGAATGTCACCGCCACAACCAACTCTCCACGGTGATTGCACATGCTAAGGATGGAACCAATGTTGCAAAACACGCTAGGCGCCCCCTAGGCGGCAAGGGGGCGCCTAGGCGCCGATTTTTTTATTTTATTATTATTATTATTATTATTATTATTTTTTTTTTAATTAAAAATAAAATTAAAAATTAAAAATTTTTAAAATTTAGTAACAAAACATAAGGTTTCCATAGTTATTTCTTAGAAACTATTTACGAAAGTGGTTGTAAAAGTGTTCAAAAGATTGTTTAAACCATCTAAATACATAAAAAACTAAAATTAAGAGCTAAAGAAGCATTTTTTTGAGAAATTAGTGGACCAAACCGCCTTCGGCTGTTTGCGGTGGATAGATCTCGAAAAAAATACGTGATTTGAAAAAAAAAATTGTCCAAAACGGACAACCGAGTCAAAAGTTATGCCTTCCCGAAGATTTCGCAATTTAAAACGCAAAAAAAAAATAAAAATAAAAATAAAAATAAAAAATTAAAGCGCCGGTTCAGCCGGCTAGGCGGTCTAGGCGGCCGCCTAGACTGCCTAGCCGGCCGGCCGCGGAGGAGGCCGATTCCGGCCTTCTTCGCGGCGGCGGCCGGGCGCCTAGCGCCTAGGCGCCGATTAATCGGCGCCTAGGCGCGATTTTTGCAACCTTGGATGGAACTAAATCATTAAACCAAACTAACATTCAAATTATTTAACTTAAAGTCACTTGGGGAAAAACACCCTGATGTCTATCATCGGACATACATAGCATAAGTCTACAATCCATCAAATAAACATCATCATAATAATTAGAGTTTAGACTAGATCTACTAAGTTAGTCTAACTCGATCATCTCTCAAACGCTGGGCCCACCTGAAAGGGGTTTTGCAAAACAACACGTAGACAAGTAGGAAAGCACGCGTTAGCATGAAGCTAAGTATAACCATACTCAACCCTGTAAAGTACTACAATATATACTTTGGAAAAACATTTGTTCACAAACTCTAATCAAGGAATCTCAACACTTAGACAACTTTAAGATACATCACAGACTTTCTATATGCTTGCAACCTATAATATCATCAAGCATGCTCCAAATATATAAAACTCATCAACATAAATACTCCAACACATATTTCTCATAACAAATCTCATCATAACGAACTCATGCTATCAATCAATTGCGGACCAACAATCAATACGAAAATATCTTCATGCTTTCAAGTTCTCATCATGCAAACTAGATATATAAGACATCAAAATGCCACTAAAGCAATCATACTCGATATACAATCTCGGTTAATCATTCTCAAATGCAATCTAGTGCAATACTATACTCAAATGCAATCTCGTGCAATACTATAAGTATATTCATACACTCGTTTGTAAAATAGAATACTTTTCTGTGGAGGTCTCTTTGAGCCACAAGGACTCGCTTGCTTTCTTTCTTTTCTTAGAGTCGCAATGACTCGCTTTCTTTCTTTCTTTTCTTAGAGTCGCAATGACTCACTTTCTTTACTAATGGACGAGGTAGGAACTTCACCTAGCGTGAACGAACCTATCCGGGCATGACGTCTAGCCGTCCTAATACTCATCTCGTCCACCGAACCACTCTCTTGGTTTTATGCTCAAACTCTGTGGAATCAGGTATCGAACTATCAGCGTGCATACCCCCTGATCAGGATTCCAAGCCTGGCGGGCAGTTTCCAACCTCGTAATGTGGGAATACGCCGCGTTACATATACTAGGACTGCAATGTCCATTTCTTTCTTCCTAGAGGACATAGTCTAAATGGAGTTGCTCGTCGGGAAAGAAAGGAAAAAAGTAAAATGACCAAAAAAGCCCTCAATATTTGACCTATTAAAAATTTCCGGTGAGATTTGACCAGTAATTTGGTCGGAGTGACCAAAATTGAAAGAAATTGCATAGTCAAGGTACTAAATTAACATTTTTGAAAGTCAAGTGTTGCAATTAACACAACCCCAATAGTCAGTGGACCAAAATTGAAATTTTCTCAACAAAATAGCAATCCAAAGTTCAAACGGTATTCGGTTCGGTTCGGTTTTTACCAAACAAATTCAGTTCGGTTTGAGAAAACTGAACTGAATTGCCCACCCTTAAAGTTAATTACCACAATGATTCCTTGACTATAGCAAATTACCAATTTGATTAAGTTTTTAAAGTTGAGGGACTTAATTGGTCAAAAAATAGTCAAGGACCAAATTAGTAATTTCGCTATAGTCAAGGGACCATTTCAGTTATTGTGTATTTATGCGTAATAGCTGGAGGTTATACATTGATATAAGTCATAGTTCTGCCTTAACCCTGTGCAATTTGGGATTTATCTGTGTTATTAATTTGTGTTTTTTTTTTTTTTTTTTTTTTTTTTTTTTTTTTTTGCCTTATTGTTAGAGTTTTTATAATAAGATGCTAGTCCACTAAGTGTAAGGTCCTGCTACGCTGTTAACAAATTATATAGTATAAGATATACTTGTGTTATTAATTTAAAAGGATGAAATATGTATAGCTTGTATTAGTTTGATAAGAATATTTATTTATTTATTAAATATTAATATTGTAAATAAAAATACATTTATTTTCAAAAAAAAATAAAAATAAAAATACATTTAATCCCTATATACAAAATCTACAGAAAACCCACGAAAGACCTATACATTTGTCCTCTATACTATTACACCTCTTATTACTTGTCAGTGTCTTTGGTTGTTAGTTCACACATCTGCAAAAAAAAAAAAAAAAAAAAAAAAACAAAAACAAAAAAAAAAAACAAAAAAAAAAAAAAACAAAAAAAGTTAAGCACTTAAAGTAAAAATCATATAAGCAGTTAAACTGCAAGAAGTTAAGTCAAACATTTTATAAAGTAGTAATTGTCAAATATGTAAAACACATAAAATGCCACAAGGGCATACCTATCCAACCATTTTACCCATTAGTTGTTGATATGCAACTAATAAAGAAGAATAGAGCATATAATGTTTATGTCACTAAGCAAGTAAGCATATACATAGCAGTAAGAATAAAATAAAACTTAAAACAATAATGTGGCAACTGTCAATTACTTAATAAAATACAACTTAAAGCATATACATAGCAGCAAGAAATTTAAATTACTTCGTTAATGGCACTAACCTTTGGCTGAATTGCCTTTGTTTGTTGACTGTGGAACGTCGATATTCCCTTGACAAATAACATCGCATCAGCCGGAGTAAGCAAGTAAGTATATACTGTTGGAAAAAATAGCTTAAAATGGCATAAAATGACATGTTAAGTGGCAAATCAAATTCCAACTAGATGAGATTGAAAAGGCTTGATTCAAGCCCGAGCTCGTGTGCGCTGGCACCTGCGGGACGAATGTCATCCGGAAATTGGCTTTGGCTAGCCTTGCGGGCTAAGTTATGACAAAATTCGGTACCAATTTTTCCAACAGATAGCCACTGAGGTTTCGGCTATGAGCCGAAACTTGTAAGAGGTTTCGGCCAGATGGCCGAAACATGCACCCAGTGGCCAAAACTTGCAAGTTTCGGCCACTTGAGGCCTTGGCCGAAACTTGCAAGTTTCGGCCTGGTGGCCAAAAGTTCGGCCTTCTCGTGGCTAAACTGA